CCTGTCACACGCCCCAGGCCCCAGCCTCCCACACGCTCACCCTGGTGCTCTAGGATCACCAGCCCTGGGAGAGGAGAGGCTCCATGCTCCCCATCTGGGGTATCCAGCCCGCCCTGCCCTGCTTCTTCCCACTTCCCTGTGGCTGACTTTACAGGACACAGAGCAACAGCTGGAGAAGGGGAGCACAAGCCACACCCTCTGCTCCTGCCAATCAAAGGGTCGTTTCTATTGACTCCAATAGGCAGCTGCCTGGTGCATGGGGCTGGGCACTGGTGCCACTCAGGGCACCTCGGTCATTTGTTTCTCGCAGGCTTTATTCACCTCCTGCAACTATTTATGAGGCCAAAATAACTGGAGGAGCGAGTGGCAGGGCAATCCCATGATGAGAGCCGAGCTCCATTTACCGAGCCGGAGGGATTAAAAAGCCCTTGAGAAACAAAGACTATCCCCTCCCTGGCTAATGGGCCCCCTGCTTTGATCCCATTTCTTTACCCCCAGCGTAGGGAACAGGGCCCATCTGTCCTATCGGCGGGAACGTGATGGTGGTGTTCCCGGCCCGCTTGCACTGCCGCTGCGGCTCCAGGTTCACCTGGGTGCAGGGCTGGGCCCCGAGCCACGCTCCTCCTGAGCGCTGGGGAAGTTTGGGCCTGGATCTAGAATTCCAGCCCGGGGTGGAGTCGGCTGATTGGCACCTGAATACACAATGACCCTCGGCACCCCGCCCTCCCCACCACCTGCAATTGACGCAGGAGCCTTCGGGCTAGAATGACAGCCCTGCCCTTGCCGGGCCAAGGTGAGCCCTGGCACACCTGTGCTTTAATGCGCTGGGAGGCCGGAGCCCAGGGAACTGTGCACAACGCCTGCTGACGTCAGCGTGGCCTCAGGGCTCTCGAGTGGTCGGGAGGGAGGCGCCTCATCTCTGACGGGGGGGGGCCCTTTCCGAAGTCTGCAGGCCTGCAATAGAGCCAGCCCCTGGCCCCCTCGGACCAGCAAGTGCTGAGGAAAGAGGTCAAGCCAACCCCCCTCGCCCTTCCCAGCTCTGTCCCTGGAGTCTGAGATTCCAGCCCCACAGGACCCCAGCCAGGCCCAAGGGGAGGAGCAGGGACTCACCCCAACACCCATGGGAGTCACTGGGCTTTGGAGCAGGCCCCCAGTTCAGCAGGCTGCAGGATGGAGCGGTCCCCCCAGGACAAGGAGCAGCCCAGCAGCGGTGTGGCTTTAGGTGCTTCCCCCTCCAGCCCTTAGAACTTGATTAAAGGACCAGGGCCCAATCTCTCTTCCCTCCACACTGGAAGCCTTCCTCAGGGACCAGCCGGCCGGCCGATGTGAGAGGTTCAGCTTCTGTGGTTATTGTATATCCCGCTGGGGGAAGGTGGGTTTCTCTTTTCAACTCATCGGTGCCCAGCCAAGTAAACTGTAGTTTGCATTTTTGACCCGCTGCCTCGCTGTCATCCTTTGCGCCCTCCACAGCGGTCCCAGCCCTTGGGCCGCAGGAGGGAGCTGTTCTACAGAACAGCTGACGAGACACCACAGGCCCAGAGGGTCCACGCAGCTCGCGTGCCAGCCTTGCTGGGCTTTACCAGCCCAGCCAGACCCCATCAGGAATGCCAGGCAGCACACCGTGCCATCTTGTGGCTGAACAGTGTAACTGCAAGTAAACGTACCGTTCCCGTGGGCGCAGCCAGCGATGCCTTTTCATGCTCTTGCACTTATGTGGTGCCTTTCATCCAAAGGGACGGTGTGGCGGGCATTGGCATCAGCCTGCGCAGCGCTGTTTAATGGGGCCCAGCGTGCTCATGTACAACAGGACGGTGCCTGTTCTCCCCCAGCCTCAGAGGTGCCCATGCCAGCTGTCCCACTACCAGCGTGTGTCTCATGAAGTCCTGGCCCCGTTCTGTAAGGAAGGGAGGGTTGTCGTGGACAGGAACGGGGCAGTGTGCCTTTCCTAGTGTCTGCTGGGGTGGAAGCCACCAGCCCCTAACACAGCAGCAGTGTGTCCCTAGGCCTTGTACATTTGTGGCTAGGACCTAGTTAGTAACACACTGATCTGGAACTCAACCGTGCCCATGTGGTTTCCTCTAAAACTTATACGTTCGAGGGACAGCGGTGTGGCCTGGCTCCCCCCTCGGTACAACGGGGGTAACAGTGCTGCCCTCTCTCACAAAGGGCTGTCAGATCTGCTGGTGGACAGAGCTGGGGGGTGTTATTAGTGATGTAGCAAGAGCGGAGTTGGATGAGGGGTTTGTGGGGCCCTGAGCCAGAGAGGGGGCCCCTCCCCACCCCTTCTGCCTGCAGGCGCCCCCCCCATCTCCCCTCCCAGCGCTCCTGCCGGAGAGCGGGGTCGGAGCACGGGGGCTTCTCCCATGCCCCAGTGGGTGGGCAGAGCAGGACAAGCCCCTGCTCCCCGGCAGGAGCGCTGGGCGGGTCAGGGCACGGGGGTGCCCCAATTGGCTGGGCGTTGGCCCAGTGGCTAATCCGTCACTGGGCAAGGGCAGTAACACATCAAGCGTCTCATCCACAGGAACTCAGTGTTATTCAATGGCCTTTTCCCCGCAGGGCAGAGGGCATGGAACGGCTGCATGGCCTTTATAGCAAAGCCTTCACCTCTGCTTCCCTCTTGGACAATGGCCCTGAGATTCTGAGCGTCTTGACTCTGCTGATCAGGTCCTGGCACAAACACCTCCCTCCTCCCCCAGCTGCCATTACTGCTGGGGAGGGGCAGGAAGGCCTGGGGCGGGGAAGGGGGAGATGAGATGGGAGTGGAGAGGAAGGAAGGGTGTGTGAAAGAGGAGGGCAGAGGGGGAGAACAGCTCGGACATTTTGAGGGACAGGCGGGGTTGGCTGCTGCAGACTAGAGAAGGGAAGGAATTGTAATAATCCAGGTGTGCCCCAGAGAGCAGCAGGAGGGTGGGGAGCGGGTGGCGGGGGGAGCGACAGCTCGGCATGGTTCTGTGCAACACTCAATACAGCACATCGGGGGGGGGGGGGGGGGGGGGGGGGGCGCGACAGGAGGGGGGGGGGGGGGGGGGGGGGGGGGGGGGGGAGAGGAGCTCTCAGAACAGAACAAACATGGGGGCGGTCGGGGCGTGGCCCGCGGCACAGGGCAGAGCAGGAGGCAGCAGTGGTGTGCAGTGGGTAGAGCATGGTCAGGAGATGGGGTCATGGCTCCCTCTGGGACAGTGGCAAGTTCCTTCCCCTCTGTTTTCCCATCAGTAAAACCAGGTCAATGACCCCAGCCTGATGCGAGCAGTCGCTTCTGTTTTCTTCCTGAGCCGCAGAGAGGGGGAAGGGAGCTGCCCGTCCTGTGAGCAGAGGCTCCGTGGGACTGGGGCGTGGCTGCACGGCCTGGCCCCTTTGGGCCTGGGGTTTGATCACGTCACAAGTGGGGCTTACCCAAGCACGGAGAATTTCTTCAGCTTCTTACACACTCATCCATGCACAGACACACCCACAATGCATGGACACACTCACACCTGGACACACACCAAACCCACGCACATACACACATTTGGCTGGGATGATTTAGTTGGGGATTGGTCCTGCTTTGAGCAGGGGGCTGGACTAGATACCTCCTGAGGTCCCTTCCAACCCTGATATTCTATGATTTGCATCTGGCCTTTAGGCCTAACCAGCAATCCTCTAATAAATCCATCCTAGGCCAGCAGCCCCCCCATTGATCCTACGCGCCCCCCGCAAGTATATATCTCTAGCTGCTTTCTGCTCTTTCGCCTGTTAGTCGGTGACCAGTTACTCTAAGCAGCCAGGTGCACCGTGCCACTAGTCACATGGGTAGGCCAGAGCAGAATTCAATCTGCATTTCGTTATCATTTCAGCAGATACGCTCAATGTTTATCTTCAAGCATTTTTTTTTCAACTGGATCGATTCAAATTTTCCCAGTTGCAGGAAATTAGGGGACAAGGATCAGGCAAGGGGGGGCGGGAGGGCGCGTTCCAGACAATAATGATTTAGCGGCCGCAGCCGCTGAGATGCTAAAGCGTTTATAACCCTTAAAACACAATTGGTCGGCATCACGTGTGGAAAGACATCAAGTCAACAGCCTTAAACGGAGCTCCAAGAAGGTCTCCAGCAGCAGGCGTCTGACTGCCTGGCCGCACGTTTCGCTTAGTAGCACCGGAAACCTTTTCTCCTCGGTTTGTGTGTGACCGATACAAACCTGATCCTTCCCAGGGCCGGAGAACTGCTCCAGTCCTGTGAACCCAGGGGGAGGCGCTGCTTCCCCCCACCCCAGCGCTGGAGCAAGCCCGGAGCGTAACAGAGATGGGAGCAGCCACCGGGCTCCCCTCCCAGGGGCGGGAGAGCAGGGCGCCGGTGCTGTCACATACCCCAGCAGGGTATGACAGCAGTTGAGTCAGGCGCAGTTGGAGCGGCCCAGGTGTACTCATGGTCAGGTGTGTCCCTCACCCCTCCAGCACTGTGCGGATTCTCCATGGGCTGGGAAGGGAGACGCCTGTCAGCTTTGCTCACGCGCTCAGTGACCCGAGCAGGGGAATGCACGGGGGGGGTGGAACTACCACACCCACCTTGTCTCCTTGAGTTCAGTGCTAATGCCTTTTATTGGCTCAGCGTCTGCTGGTGAGAGAGACACGCTGTGGAGTTTACACAGCGCTCTTCAGGGCCGTCCGGAGCTAACGGCAGGGGCTTGCTCGTATGCGCTGGGACGGCTACAGGCTCAGATCCCCTGCGGCCCAGGCACAGAGCGGGACCCCAACACACAGCAGTGGGTCACACAAGCACTGGTGGAGCCTGTGATGAAGTGGGAATGTTCTTATGTTTTCTCTGAATACTATGTGGGTGCCTCAGTTTCCCCTGTGCCTTTCTTAAGTATCTAGGGGCTGGGATAAGGGGGTGTGATTGTTGCAGAGCAGAGGGCCAGTGTGATGCTGTCTGCACAGAGAATGGCCGACACCCTGTCTCCTGGCAACTGATGGCCTGGGCCCCTCCCCTGCAAGGTGCAAGCTGAAGGTGTTGGAGAACAAAGAGATCAGGTGCCCCCCTGGCCCAGGAAAGGGACAAGGCTGGAGGAGGAGCCAGGGGGCGTGGCTGGGGGGGAGACTGCTGGAGGGGGTCAGTTTGAAGCTGGCGGAAATGGAGGGAGGCCCAGACGGGGGACTGGTCCCCCTACCCCCCCCCACCCCAAGATGGACCTGACTGCGGGGGCCTGTTTCCTGTCCCTACAAGCTCTGTTTTGGACTGTGTTCCTGTCGTCTAATAAACCTTCTGTGTTACTGACTGGCTGAGAGTCCCGGTGAATCGCAGGAAGTGGGGGGTGCAGGGCCCTGACTCCCCCACACTCCGTGACAGAGCGTGAGGGGCCTTATTTCATCACGGAGATGGCTGCTGGTTAATACCGGAGTTCCTGTGGCTGAAAGCCCTCCCGCATGTTTTCTGTACAGTCAGCATATCCCTTCGGTGACGTGAACCGCGAGGGGACGCTCACCCAGACCGCTCTACCCTAGAAACCGTGCTGGGAATCGGCTGAAAACAGGCTTTGGTACCAGATTTCCAGCTCGGCCAATGAGGCCCTAAGAACGTCCTTCCTCCTGGTTAGCTGGAGCCAGGAAACCCGGAGGCACATGGAGGAAAAGGGTCTGAAGCTTTGGGTGCAGATCTGGCCTGGCTCCCCTCTCACCCGGCCACACCCTAAGCTCGAGTGCGTGACAATGAGGAAAGGAGCCATAGCCATTAGCCGCCATCCTCGTCGGCCACAGCGCGGGCTGCCCTGACTCGGCCGAGCCCAGGCTGGGCTGTTCAGACTTGTCTCCTCCCGCACAGGTGTCTGGTTCCCAGTGTTTGCTTTCACCCCCTTTCTGCAGAGGGGTGGGCCTGGCGCAGGTCCAGGCTGTTTTCTTCTGAATCCCTCCAACGCGGGCAGGGAGTTTTCTGACTCTGCTCCTGGTGAGGTCAGTTACAAAGGCTTGGACTGCGGGGGTTTATCACTGGGCCATCTGTTCGGCCCTCTGCTATAGCGTGAACAGCCCCTTTCAGAGGTAATGGGTCCAGCCCCACCTGCCCCTCACTCAGCGCTCCTCCCCAGGTGGGGCGCATCATCACAGCCAGGGCATGTGGCTAAATCAGGCCCGGGCCTAGTGATGTGAAAGAAGCCTGCAGCAAGCCAGAGGGAGAGAGGGTGAGCAGACAGGGGGCTGCCCGGAGGGGAAGGAGAGAATTCAAAGGGGGCCAGTTCAGAGACGCTGATCAAGGGCTACAGCCTGCCTCTGAGAAGGAGGACCACACCCAGAGAGGCATATAGGCCCAGAGGGAGGGCTGTGGGACCCCGACCGGAGAAGGGGGACCACACCCAGAGCGGCACATAGACCCGGAGGGAGGGCTGTGGGATCCCGACCGGAGAAGGGGGACCACACCCAGAGAGGCACACAGGCCCAGAGGGAGGGCTGTGGGACCCCGACCAGAGAAGGGGGACCACACCCAGAGAGGCACACAGGCCCACAGCGAGGGCTGTGGGACCCCTGAATTCAGGGGGAGTGCAAGGGGCTAAAAACTAATCGCTCTATTTAGCGAATGAGGAATTCACAGGGGGAATCTCAGGTTAAAGCCATCTGGCCTGGGAGTGGCTTCTTACAAGAACCAGAGCCGGGGGAGCAGAGGACAGCGGCCGTGCAGAAGGGGCATCTGGAAGGACTGTTGCCTGTCACAACTTCCAAGTGCCTTCCAGGCAGTGGGAACTGGAGGACTCAGCACCTTATCCTCAGGACGTACAGTAAGTCCATGGGATGTCCTCTGTGCTGAGAGCGCTCCGCCTGGGCCCTGCTGGGCAGCTGGGAACCCCAGCCTCTCTCTGAGCCTTAGGTGGCGACATCTCCAAAGTTCTTCCCGCGTCCTGCCTCCGACAGTCACCAGCAGCAGCCGCTTCAGAGGGCTGTGCAAGAAACCCTGCAACTACGGGGCAACCTGCCACCAGGGAAAGATGCCGGGCACCCGGGATTGGACTGCAGGGGCCACCGTCGGAGGACAGGATACTGGGAGGGATGGACCTTAGGTCTGACCCAGTAGGGCCGTTCTTATGGAGTGACCGATCCCACATCAGGTAGCTGTGACTCACCCACTAGCTTTTCTCTTCCCATCAATCACAGTTTCTTTTGTCAGCCACTCCTCTTGACGTGATTGTGTTCAATCCAGAGTTACCCCCTGGGCTGCCTTCCTCCCCACCAGTCCTGCTTCCCGCTCCTGCGGATTCCCTGTCCGCCATGCCTGGTGTAATCACCCCCATGCCAACGGCCCATTACGGAAGGGTGAAGCCCCATCGTGTGCCAGGCCAGTGCATGGCGACCCAACGGTCTCATGACGCTAGTGATGCCGGGCTGACTTTGAGTGGGGAATACAATGCAACCTGACTTCGCGTCTATCATGCAAACGGGGTCCCCTCAATTCTGCTCAGCAGAGGAATTAAGAGGCGCAGACATATTGGGATCGAATCTGATCTCACTTACCCGGTTCTACGCCGGCTGCCGTGGATTTACCCGGGGTAAGGGAGATCAGAGTCTGGTTCTGTGCGCTGCTGCTCGCAGGCCCGGTGGACCCAGCTGTGTCGCTCAGGAGTGTGAAAAACCCACAGCCCTGAGCGCTGGAGTTAAGCCGACCTAACCCCTGGTGCAGACAGGGCTAGGTTGACGGAAGAATTCTTCCATTGACCTCGCGACCGCCTCTTGGGGAGGGGGATTACCTACGCCAAGGGGAGGTAGTGTTTACACTGAAGTGCTACAGCGGCGCAGCTGCAGTGTAGACGAGCCCTCAGTTACACCAGTTTAAATCCGGAGGGGAGAGAAGTCACTTCATATATGTGCCAGCGTCACAGAGATCAGAATCTGGCCGTCTGTGTTTGCAGCTGATGCGCTGGAGAGGCAGGAGCCGCAGAGGGGTGGGCTCTTGCACCATGTGGGGAGGGGATTGTTTGGAAGGGCAGAGAGGAGGCTGGTGCTACATAACAGGTAGGAAGGGAGAGAGGAGAGAGACATGCTGGAGCAAACCAGGGCCATCTTGAGTACTCCCTGACGCTGGCCTGGTGTTAAAGGGGGAGCCAGGCTCCTATTTCTATGCAATGTCAGATCGGTGCCCCCAGGCAGCTGGCCCAGGGAGGGCGCTACAGGACAGCTCTCTCCAGCGATGCCCCCGTCCCTGGCGCTGCCAAGCCCGGCGCGCACTCATGCACAGCAAACGCGCCCCAAGAAACTGGCCTGACCTGTTTGCTGTCAGCTCTCAGAGGAGAAGAGAGGAATGCAGGTGTCCAGGAGAGGGGAGGGTACAGGCGGGACCCACAGGGGCCGGGACACAGAGACCGTTCAGCCAGCGATCCTCTCGGCACTACCGCGCCAGCTGCCGAGCCGCCGAGAGCCCCGCTCCACCAGTGCCGCCGGGATGCCCCTCCTGCTGGCACTACTCCTGCTGGTCACCGCCACCTGCCCCGTGCGAGGCCAAGGTGAGTCTTGGGGATGCGGCCGGGCGCTGCAGCCTGGTGTGGAGGGCGACGCAGGGGGGATTCTGAATGATGGAGCTGGGAATGCCTTGGAACCAGGCAGGGATCCATTCACGCCGGGCCGGCCTGCGACCCCCGTCGGCGACCAGCCCTCTCCCCAAGGCAGCACCGCTGCAGGCGGGCGAGTAACCGATCGGGGACGGGAGCCAGGCGCTGGCAAGCAGCAAGGCGACGACTCGGCTTGGGGCGTGTTTACTGAGCGAAATCCTCCCTGAGCCGCGCCGGGCGCTCAGCCGCACGTCTAATCCCCCCGGCCACGCTGTTAGCAGCTGAACCCGCAGAACGACGCCCGAGCCGTGGACCGGCCGGCCGAGCTCAGGCAGATGCAGGCGTCTGACATTGGACCCACGCTGGGAAATCGCAGCATGGGGCAATCGGTTGGGGGGGGGAAAGGGAGGCTATTTGCAGAATATGATGCTAGTGTGAACACGATCAAGTCCACAGTGCATCAGGCACCCACGGGTGCCTCTATACAGATCCATGTGAGGCTCAAAGTTCTGCCGTATTGGAAGCAAATCGCCCCCTGGCTGGGGAGGTGGGATGGGGGTTTCTGCGGGAGAGAGCAGGTCTAGGGTGACCAGATATCCCAGTTTTATAGGGACGGTCCCGATATTCGGGGCTTTGTCTTACATAGGCACCTATTAACCCCACCCCGTCCCGATTTTTCACACTTGCTGTCTGGTCACCCTCAGCGCGTTCCTCCAGCTCATTAACGATAAGGTCATGACCCACAGCATTGGTCATGGCCAGAACTCTGTGATTAGCCCTCCCCACATGCCCAGAGGTGGCTGGTTCTATCCCCATGCTACTGATGGGGAATCCGACGCCAAGAGGTCACGCGGCTCGATCTAGCTGCCTCTCTGGGTGTGTGCATGACCTAGAATGACCAGATGTCCCAATGTTATAGGGACAGTCCTGATATTTGGGGCTTTGTTTTATATAGGCGCCTATTACTCCCCACCCCTTGTCCCGATTTTTCACACTTGCTGTCTGGTCACCCTAGCATGGTCCCAGCCCGCAGTACATGTGCCCCTCCTGAGCTCAGGCGTCCTGCCTCCCAGTCCCCCAGCATTGGCAGCGAGGTGCCAGGTGCTGTACAAACACCAAACAAAAAGGTGGTCCCTGCCCCAGAGTTTACAATCTAAGTAACTGAGCTTGATAGTCTTTTCCCTTGCATCAGCTGAATGCTACCAGCTTCATTGCAGTTACTGCTGATTCCATCCAGCTGGAGAGCGGGATTTCTACCTTCGTAACCCGTCTCCATTTCGTTCTTGCTGCTGCAGTCAGTCAAACTAGCAGGGGGGAAATATATATAAAATTGGCTTGTACTGTCCCAAGCTCCACCCACAAGCCAAACTCCACCTACTAATGGTGCCAAATGAGACCCCCACTCCCAGTAGGATGTGCGTGATTTCATTAGGCTTCAGAGTGAACAGCCCATTGGAATTAATAGAGACAGTCTGCATCTCTCTCAGAGCCACTGTTTCAGGCTGATCTCAAACTCAGGCCTGGGCAACACAAGTTGCACCAATTCCACTAAATTGGTTTCTAAACTGGCTTGTTTCCACGTGAAGCTATATCAATAATAGTCACTCTTCATCCAGGTTAAGAGGAGTGTCAGTGTTTTAATTCATCTGATTTAGAAACCACTCTAGGTGCAGTTTGTGTGTGTGTGGCCCGCTCTCCCCCACAGAAAGCCCCATCCCACCTCCCCAGCCAGGGGGTGATTTGCTTCGGGAAATCGGGACTGTCCCTATAAAATCGGGACATCTGGTCACCCTAAGCCCAGGCCTTGGGCAGACAGCAGTGCATCACTGTATGTCTGGGTCACAGCTGGAAGGTTTTCTGTGCAACTGGAGGGCCTGAAGACTTCGTTTGCTTTTTTTTTTTTTTAAGCAAATTTTTAGCTCCTGGAGCACATATTGCAGCCACCAAGGGAAAGTCATAATTACACCTTCCCCTCATCCAGCACGTCGCATCCCTAGACCTCAAAGCGCTTTAGAGAGTTCAGTGTCCTCAGCCCCAGTTGGCAGATGGGGAAAGTGAGGCACAGAGACAGGAAGTGACTGCCCAAGGTCAGAGCTGGGAATAGAATCCAGCTCTCCTCAGTTCCAGCGCTCTGTTCACTAGGCCATGCTCTCTCCCCCTTGCTGTCATCAGCTTGCCAGCCCAGTTCACCTGCAGCCTGAGTTTCAGCGGCATCGTGAGGTTTGCTCCTGCATTTCTGCAGCTGCATTTCTGCCCCCACAGTGACCGGCCAGCTCAGAGAGTAGAAGGTAAGTGGCTGTCTACCAGCCTGCTCCGACTCATGGTCTATCTCTCTGGCTTTCTGCAGTCTCCACCATTGAGTATGAGCCTGCAATCACTGCCCTGGCGCTGGAAGGGAACGTCACTTCTTCCACCTTTGTCCTGGAGCAGCCTCGCTGTGTCTTCAACAAGACTGTTAGCGACACCGATGAGATCTGGTTGGTGGTTTCCCTCAGTAGCGGTAAGTGTCGTTCCTGCGCACGGGATGTGCTTGGCTCAGCAGAAGGGTCTGGGATTGCCGGGGCTACTGACGTGGCCCCAGGGGCTTTGTACTGAGTGTACGCTGGGTATCAGGCCCCCACTCCACAGCTCAGCCGAGGCACTGGGAAGCCTGGCCCTGCCCGGGAGCCCTGCCTGGCTGGCGATGGGCAGACAGGAACGGGCCTCTCCACCCTGCCCGGCAGAGCCCTTGTTGGCTAGAGATCCTGCCCGTACTCCTGCTGCCAGCTCCCTCTGATTGGAGACTGGGGATGTCCCTGGAGAAGGCTGCAGGGGAAGGCATGTGCTGGCCTGCAGAGATGCAGCAGGCCCAGACAGAGCCAGACGGGTGGGGCACAGGCCCAGGGAGCTGCCTGTGGCGTGTTCCCTGTGAGCACTGCCTGGAAGAATCAGCCACTCCCTAAGGGCAAACAGTGCCTTGATCCAGGGGCGAGGAGCCAAGGTGGCTGGAGGCGCAGCCAAGACTCTGGCTGATGGAAGGAGAGCTCCTTTTTGGCCTCTGACTGCTCTTAGCAACGGGACAGATCTGTGCATTGGAGCCATTCCCTGCCAGAGCCAGTCGCTTCAGAACAGGCACTTAATTGTGCAATATCATCGAGCTGGGAGAGCAGGCGCTTTCTCTCCATGTGTCACCCTCCTTAGAGTCCCTACAGGTGCCAATTTTTGCCCCAGCCTTACTGGGCTCTCTGCCTCAATAATTTCCGGTGGCAATGAGTTCCACAGATAAGTTATGTTGTGTAAAAAAGAAAATGTCCTTTCCATGCAATAAGTGTGCCGTTCTCGGGGCTGGATGGCTCAGGGGGTTAGAAGACTGAGGCTTTTGCCTTAAACCCACTGGGACAAGTCCCGCCCCGGTGGGAAGTGGCTGAAAGTCCTTGCCACCTGGCTAGATGTTGAGTGGCCTACAGGGTGGGATGGCTCATGAATCTGGGCCAGGCAGGGAACAGGGCTCCTCTCCTACTGCCATTCCTCCAACCCTTTGGAGCCCAGTTTGATCCGTATTGTTTCCGTAACTCTGGATAGAGTCCATTGGTGTCCGAAGACTTCATTCTCCTCTAGCTTACACGGGTGTCACTCCGGAGTGACTCCATTGAAGTCTCTTCTCCCACTGTTGTAAATCAAGAGTAAAGCATTTCACTTGCTTTTCACCGTTGTCCCTGCAGCGATATCCAGTTTCACCAGACCCATCTCCCTGCAAAGCCTCCCTTCCTTCCAGAAGTTCCCAGAGAACCCCCAGTACATGACCATGGGCACCTCCTCCTTCAACTACCCATGTGAAAATAGCTCGGGCCAGATCACGGTGCTGCGCGTCGGGAACGAAACCGGGTGCGTTTCGGACACATCAAGACCAGATTGCAACGGCCCCCTGCCTGGCCCGGGGCCCTACAGGTGAGCAGCACTGGCTGAGCTGCCGTGTTCATGTGCTAATCCCGGGGCAACACAAGAGATCTAGGTATGCTTCATCCTGCCTCAGAGCCAGGGGGTGGCCTGGATGTGACCCCTTGAGGCCCCTTCCAGCCCCACATTTGACACATGACCCCACATTGACAGGGTAACAAGCCTTGTGGATAGGGGGGAAGTGGTAGATGTGGTATATCTTGACTTTAGTAAAGCTTTTGATACTGTCTCGCATGATTGTCTCATAAACAAACTAGGAAAATATAACCTAGATAGAGCTCCTGTAAGGTGGGTTCATAAATGGTTGAAAAACTGTTCCCAGAGAGTAGTTATCAGTGGTTCACAGTCATGCTGGAAGGGCATAACGAGTGGGGTCCCACAGGGATCAGTTCTGGGTCTGGTTCTGTTCAATATCTTCATCAATGATTTAGATAACGACATAGAGATACACTGATAAAGTTTGCAGACGATACCAAGCTGGGAGGGGTTGCACGTGCTTTGGAGGATAGGATTAAAATTCAAAATGATCTGGACAAAGTGGAGAAATGGTCTGAAGTCAATAGGATGAAATTCAATAAGGACAAATGCAAAGTACTCCTCTTAGGCAGGAACAATCAGTTGCACACATACAAAATGGGAAATGACTGCCTAGGGAGGAGTACTGCGGAAAGGGATCTGGGGGTCATAGTGGATCACAAGCTAAATATGAGTCAACAGTGTAACACTCGCAAAAAAAGCGAACATCATTCTGGGATGTATTAGCAGGAGTGTTGTAAGCAAGACACGAGAAATAATTCTTCTGCTCTACTCCGCGCTGATTAGGCCTCATCTATAGTATTGTGTCCAGTTCTGGGTGCCACATTTCAGGAAAGATGGGGACAAATTGGAGAAAGTCCAGAGAAGAGCAACAAAAATGATTAAAGGTCTAGAAAACACGACCTCTGAGGGAAGATTGAAAGAATTGGGTTTGTTTAGTCTGGAGAAGAGAAGACTGAGAGGGGACATGATAACAGTTTTCAAGTACATAAAAGGTTGTTACAAGGAGGAGGGAGAAAAATTATTTTTCTTAACCTCTGAGGATAGGACAAGAAGCAATGGGCTTAAATTGCACCAAGGGCGGTTTAGGTTGGACATTAGGAAAAACTTCCTGTCAGGGTGGTTAAGCCCTGGAATAAATTGCCTGGGGAGATTGTGGAATCTCCATCATTGGGGATTTTTAAGAGCAAGTTGGACAAACACCTGTCAGGGATGGTCTAGATAATACTTAGTCCTGCCTTGAGTGCAGGGGGCTGGACTGGATGACCTCTCGAGGTCCCTTCCAGTTCTGTGATTTCTATGGATCTGTGCTGTCTGTATTGCAGTGAAATCCCATAGAGTCTCCCGTCCAGCGAGGGGGCGAGGGGAGATCCCCCTCTGCACAGAGCCAGCCCAGAGCCCATCTGTCACTTCCGCGCTATTTGGAGGGCATCAGTGGTGCCTAGACCTCGTCAATTTCATATCTGCCACCATGTGTTCCTGTTGATTTACCTCTTAGGCCTGTTGTGTTCCCAAGGCCTTCCTCCATCTACCTCTCCTCGTTGTCCACAGGGATGGGTGATGATCCTCATGGGGTACAAGGGCAGATCTGGAGCTGGTGCAAACTGGGGTAACCCCAGTGACTTTGAGAGAGCGATGCCAGTTTGTGCCAGCTAAGAATCAGGCCTCTTAACTCATTTCCCGCCCCGCCCCATCTCTTGATTTTTGCAGGCTTGGGGTTGGCGCTGCTGGGAACAGAGCCTGCCACAGGCTCACCCCTTCCCTCTCCCCAGCTGCTTCCTGCGCCCCCTTGTGACCTTGAGCCCCCAGCCTGTGCATTTCCAGGTCCTCTTCCCATTTCTCTCTTTCCAGAGTGAAGTTCCTTGCGATGAGTCCTGCAACTGGCCCCAAGGCCGAGACAAAGTGGTCAGCCCCGATCACACTGAAAACAGGTAACTGCCCGTACAGCTCAGCCACCGGGAGACGCAGGGGGCGCCGGGTTCTGACTGCCCCAGGCCGGCAGGGAAAGGAGAGGGTCACGCCGCATGCGGCCGAGGAGGTGAAGCATTAGCAGGTTCCGGTGGGAGGCGCATTTGGCCCGGGCAATCGGCCAGGCCAGAGAGGTTTTGTGGGAAGCGGGTGGAGTGGGACGGCCACACAAAAAGAGGAGGAGCGTCTGGAGCGAGGGAAGAATGGTGGCTTGGCGAGCTGGGCTCAGTTCCTAGCTCTGCCGCAGGCTCCATGTGTGACCTCGGACAAGTCACTCAGCCTCTCTGAGCCCCAGTCCCCACCTGAACTCTGGGGATAATCGCCCTGCCCTGCCGCACAGGGGTGTTGTGAGTGTCAGGGGCTCAGACACCGCTGTGAGTGGGGCCAGGGAAGAGTCTAAATGGCTAGAACGGGACATGTCTGCGTTCATCTCTATGGCCCTGGTCCGGGGACTTATAATGCCCCTCTTGTCTAGTGCTTTTCCCCACCAGATCTTAAAGCCCTGCGCAAAGGAGGCTAGTGTCCTTCTCCTACAGATGGGGAAACTGAGGCACAGGGCGGTGAAATGACTTGCCTAAGGTCACCCAGCAGGTCAGTGATGGAGCTGGGACTAGAACTCTCCTGAGTCCCAGGCCTGCGCTTTATCCACTAGGCCACCCTGCCGCCTTCTTAACTTTAAGCACATGACTGGTCCCATGACACCCACGACATTAGGGGAGTTATTCATGTGCTCGGAGTTCTCTCCCCTTCTGCCCGGGGGGGGGGTCCCTGCCAGTGACTGTTTCCCCTCCCCCCACTCTCTTTTCCAGGGAAGGACCCTGCCCGCATTGACACCTGGCCCGGAAGGCGCAGCGCTGGTATGATCGTCATCACCACCATCCTCTCCATCCTCCTGGCCGTCCTGCTGGCCTGCTTCATCGCCGCGCTGGTCTATGGATGGTGAGCTCCACATCCAGGGGGCGGATGGGCAGGGCCTGGGTGCTGATCAGAACCCTTCCCGTCTCTCAGTCCCCCCCAATCCTTCCCCTAACCCCCTCCAGCCCTGCACTCCCATAGCAGGGGAAGGTCACCAGCTGGGACCCTCCCGGTGGTAGATGCGGGAACTAAGTCCTGCCGGGAATTATCCAGGGTTCCCGTCAGGTTCGCACACCCTGCGCTGAACCTTATGCTGCTGGGGCATTGTTTCTCCAGGACCTGAGCTAAGTCCGTTAAAGCTGGCTCGGGAAAATCACCCCCCGGGACTGCAGGCTAGACGCACCCTGGGGGGGAGATGCGTCTGCCGTGGTTCGCACCGCCAGCGTGGCTCTGATTTCAGCACACCCGGCTCCGGAGCCCCAGCTCATTAATTCCTCTCCTGCCCCAGAATAGTGCGGGCTGCAGGGGCTCGGGAGAGGTACCGGGGCTCGGATGGGATGTTAAAGCCAGGTGCTCTCGTGAAGATTCAAACCTGGACTGAATTCACTGTAAGGGGAGAAGCCTGTGAAGGTCGTCCCATGTGCTGTGTTGATTCACCTCTGGGCCTGTGCGGAGATACCCTGAGTCCCAGTCCTTGGGGTCCGCGAAGGAGCCCAGCCCACTGAGGGGTAACTGGGGATAACTGGAAGGGTCGGGGGGAGAGAAACTGACTTGTAACGGAGTCGCTCGCAGCAACAATGGGCAGATCTCTGACTGTATCTGACCCAGGGGGTTAGGTTCGCCCCGCCCCACTCCCCAGAGCCCCCCCTGTGGAGCCCCCCTGATCCGCTGTCCACCCTTCCTTCGGCAGTTCGGACATTTCCGAGAGCGCGGAGATAATGGACAAGCAGGACCCGGTGACAGTGAAGAGGTACAACACCCATCATATCTACGACCAGCCTGCGTTCAAGAACTGAGGCCTTCCCGCGAGACAGCCACCCCCTGCTACAACCCCGTCCCATCACGCGGGAGCTCCTCGGCTGACTCTCCGGCACAGCCTGTGTGCGCCGGGAACAGCACTGGGAGAGGAGGGGACCCAGGGGCAGTGATCCGGGGTGGAACTCCCCCGCTTCTCCTCAGTACTAGTGCCAGTAGCACCCTTCGCCCTGCTCCTGCCAGGCTGTTCCTGCTCCATCCCCTCCTCTCTCTGCTGCATTCGTGAGCCGAGCTGAGTCCCAAGGCCCAGACCCAAATACTCCAGTCCCAAGCTGCAGACTCGGAACCAGGTCCTCCTCCTCGTGCTGATCCTCCGATCACCCCTGACCTTCCGGGGGAGATTTGACGTTGGCGTCTGTCTCTTGGGCTCGGGCGCTGTGTCAAGGACCCAGTAGCCTGGGGCCAGTGTTATTTCCAAGCATGCGGTACTTGAACCCAGGAGGCAGTGGCCGCCTGTGGGTCTCTCTGGCTGCTAGGGTGACCAGATGTCCCGATTTTATAGGGACAGTCCTGATATTTGGGGCTTTTTCTTATATAGGCTCCTATTACCCCCCACCCCCGTCCCGATTTTTCACACTCGCTGTCTGGTCACCCTACTGGCTGCAGAGGGCTCATCCTCCGAGCTGGAAGCCACTCCTAATCCTCTGCTTGCTGCCCATGTCTGAATCCAGCCGGCCACGTTCCCTGGCTGCCCCGATGTCCGCTGGGGGCCACGTCTGTGCCACCAATTTTGGTGCACCATTTCCCAGAGCGCTAGCCCGCCTGGACTGGGTATGGTCCTGTGTGATCAGACAGGCTCAGCCCAGACAATAAGGATCCCCTTGCAGAGTCCACTCCAGCCAGGCATGGAAATCCAGACCGGGAGATAACGGGGGCTCCCACAGGTGAGGCTCATTAACTCCCCCAAGTAAGCGTTAGCCTTAAAGTGGGGAGGCTTCCCCCGGTTGCGGAGCCTCTGGGAATAACGGAGAAGCTGGACTGGATTTCCACGTGCTGTGGGAATGGATTCTGCCTGCCATTTGTAGGATCCTCAGCCAGGTACCTTAACCCCCACTTTAAAAGGGTTTGGGGGGTGGGGGGGTAGCCTCCCTGCACCCTGGAATTTCACTGGGTCTCGGGCCCCTCACTCCCCTCTGTGCTTTCGGAAATCCCAGCCAGCGTTCCCAGGGAGGCAGAGGCCAGGCCCGTGCAGCAGGGCCAGTCCCCGTTTGCTTTTTCAAATGAACAATTAAAACCGATTGTCACGAAGACAAGTTTCGCTGTGAGTCGTTGATGGCTGAGTGCAATCAGCCTCCGAGCCATCTGAGCCCAGGCCGGCTGCCCCCACTTTGTGCTCCGCAGAGCGCATCCGCCACCAGTCACACGAGTGATAGGGGCTGCTAAATGTCCTGGGAGCCCCGAGCTGTAGCCCAGACTAATACGGTACATGGCAAAAAGGCTCAGGGCTCGCCAGGGGAGGAGAGCTGTGCGGGACCAACGCTGAACAGTTTTGTTTGACTCAAACCCCCAGACCTGATCTCTTCCTCTGTGACGGGGCAGTGTCATGACCCCAATTCTACAGGCGTCGCGAGCCAGCCGGCACATGCACAACCCATGCAAAGTCAGCATGGCTCTTTGTCCCCCTCTAGTGGCTAGCCTGCACATAACCGTTCGTGCGCCTGCCCCTGCCTTAGAGCAGTAGAGGCTCATATTCTAGATCTCCTGGGTTCAAGCCCCACTGATACCCTGCCTAGGGGTGTCATTACAAGTGCTGACTCATACAGGGAATGGGAACTGTTGTGAAGCCTGAAACAAGTGTCCCTGGCTCCGCGGGAGAAGTATCGTGAGCCCAGGTGTAGGGTTCCAGATGATGCTGGTCTGTGCAAGGAGCGGCAGCGTTTCTGATGTAGGGTTTTAGCATCGTGGTGGGTGTTTCGCCTTGCAGGGGGAGGTTACAAGTTTGGCATCTGACTCATGGTGAAAACAATCTGTCCCTTTGAGGCAGAAAAGCTGCACCTAATGTGACTCATCCGGAAGTTATTTCAGGGGGTAATTATAAATAGCAGAGCTGGCCAAAGAGATTCAGGGGGAAAATCTTAATCTGAAAACTGGGTTTCATCAAAAAATGAGTTGGTAGTAGAAAAATTTCATTTCTGAATCATGTTTTAATTTTTTTTCCCAAAATGTAAAACCAAAATCATATTTTTTACAACCCCAATATTTTTCTAATCGTGTTTCTTTTTTCTCCCACTTTCCTGCAGTTTTCCAGCTGGCAAAATTTGTGAAAGAGTAACACGGCGGGAGATAACCTACGGTCACCTCTTTTCTTGTAAACAGAAAAGAAAATTGGGAAAAGGAGGGTTTTTTCCACATTTTCTCACGCATTCTTACTCTTTCCCAAATTTTGCCCGTTGGAAAACAATATAAAGTTGTGGAAAGTAGATGTATTCCATTTTCTCACACCTTTTCCCCTCCTTTTTCTAGTAGCTAGAAAGTGCTCACGGAACCTTAATCCAGTCCCCTTGTGCATATTCATTCTGATACAGCGTTTCATTGCATGGTCCCATGCTATTTTCCCCCCACGAGGCACATTCCTGGCCCCAGGCTGACCCCCCCCTGCCAAATTTCAAGCCCCTTGATGGTTCTAGAGCATCTCACTGAAACTGTTTCAAGACTTTTTCACCAGGGGAGAACAACATTCTTGGAAAGGGCTGAACTGTTTTTGCTGAAGCTTTCCGACGCCCGGCGTGGAGAATTCCAGCCCGAATGGTTAAAGTTTGGCAAAGTTATAAGCCACTGAAAAGAGGGTTTTATAATGGACATGGCAGGTGACTTTAGCAAGAGGCGTCACTCCCAGCTCTGCCTAGACTTCTTAGCTTGTCTAATGACAATTACTTTTATTCGGGTGCATGGGGGCATTCATCTGCTTCCTGAGGTCGAGGGAAGGTGAGTGGATGTACCTCTGTACTGAGCTTTCCCAGCAGGCAGAGCTTCCCCGGTACAAACACACCCTTTATCCTTTCCAGGCTTCTGATGAAGTTGGCCACTAGATGGTGAAGTTGTACAGTTTTTGGTGCGCTATAACTGAGAATGACCATTGGCTTCACTGTAACCCTATAGCTCTGGGTCAGTCTGCAGAGAACTCTCCCCACCCCCCATTTATCATGATCAATAAATGCACAAACCGAACTGTTCACCATGTGCCTGAAGAGCAAGCGGTTAAAAGCTACAGGGCCCCGTGGTTACAGGCCCCAGGCTAGCTGTGGGCCCTGCAGAGTTTTCTTGGTTCCCCTTGGAGGGAAGGCTGTGTGGACAGAAGGGTGTGAAGAGGTTTTTTTAGTCCCAAAGCCAAGAGCCTTAGGGCACGATACACAGATCATGCCCAGATGCCATGGTGATGGGCAGCTGTAAATGCCAAGCCAATTCTCCACCAGCATCCCAGCATCTCTTCCCCACCAGGGGGCATCTCTGTCACCCATTCACTGAACGGCACAAGGGGCTTCAGGCAGATTCGCTCTCCCATCCTTTCCCTGATGTTTCCCATCTGCACTCTTTGGTGTAGCCAGCACTCCCGCAGCACGGACCCACCTTGCCCTCAGGTTCCACTGCAGGCCGGCTCCCCCTGGCGGGGAAAGGGCAGGACGCCGTAGCCTGGCAAGCGAGAGTGGGGTTAACCTCCCAGACGCGGCTGCTGGCTCTGCCATGTGCTGCCTGGGAGGGTCAGATAAAGCCAGGCTGTGTGACCAGTGATCGGAGCTGAGACAGGAGCTTGGCGTCCGTTAGACCACACTGCCTCTGTACACAACCATTTATTACCATTACTTGTATTGCAGAAGTGCCTAGCAGCCCCAGTCACGCGTGAGGGGCCCCTGGTGCTAGGCACTGTACAAACACAGCACAAAGGCCTGGTCTACACTAGGACTTTAATTCGGATTTAGCTGCCTTAATCCGAATTAACCCTTCACCCGTCCACACTACAGAGCCAGTTAATTCGAATTAAAGGGCCCTTTAAATCGATTTCTGTACTCCACCTCGACGAACGGAGTAGAGCCTAAATCGATTTTGTTAATTCGAATTAGGGTTAGTGTGGACGCACACCACCGAATTACTGTATTTAAGTTAATGGGGTAGTGTGGCCGCACACCACCGAATTAATGTGGTTTAAAACCGAATTAAGGTGCTTAGTGTGGCCGCGCACAATCGAATTTATACAACCTGTTTCCCAAATTCGAATTATCTAAATTCGGATTAATCCTGTAGTGTAGACATACCCAAAGAGACAGCTTCCAATGGAACCTGGCCTGCGTCTATCATTTATATTAGGGGACTGACGCCCATGTTATCTGGGGTGTGCCGGGCTGTGATTGGTGGAGAGTTGGGTCCTTTGCTGATCATTTGAACCAATCGGTGGCAGCAGGTGTGGAAAAGGAGGCGGGACGTTTCCCAGGTGGCAGGTAGCGGATGGGGAGCTGGTAAAGAGAAGGGGCTCTGGCCAATGAGGCAGGCGCTACTGGGAAGAGCCGAGCAACGTTTCCGCCCCAGACTGAAGAGGGAGGTGATTAGCTCCCACCCCACCACCCCCACATGTGGCGCCTAGCCATGCCCCCGTTAGCCAAAGCCCCTCGTTTTCCGGCAATGTAGTTGATTCTTTGCCAATCAGTACGGTAATTGGTACCAGGCGCAATGTGCTACGCACAGCACTGCAGACCGGGCAGCAGGTGCAGTAACGGATGCCATGCCAGGAAGCCGATAAGAGCCAGCCAGGACTTGTCATCGGGGCAAAATTGATCAGCCGGGTTGGAGGGGTGGGTCGAGCAGGTGTGTGGTGGGAGGAGGCACTGGCCTGCTTTGAAGCTGCTGCTGGAGATGGGATGCTAGAAATGAGAGGCCTGGGGCCTGAGCTGGTGTGGTAGGCGAACCAGGTCGGGGAATTCATGGTTTGGTCCAGAGTGGCTGCAGGCAGCGTGTCAGGGGGGTCTCGGGCAGCAGGCACCCCAGCGTG